CTGCGACAGCTCAGCGGCTGCTCTCGATGCGGCCCCCTCGCGAGCTTGTGCATGGGGTTAGGGTCCACTGTCGCCCAGCCAAGTTCAGGACTTCGTCAATGGTCGAGGGACTGGTGGGCCATAGCCTCCTTTGCGAATTGCGCGTTGGCTTCGTTGCTGTATGTGACGAAGGCGACGCCGCGGGTGTTGAGGACGCGCGCTGGTCAAATTAGTCACTGCTGAGCCGGTTCTTGGCGAGTAAAACTTACTGCGCTCAATCTGGCCCCATTCCGCAAAGTGCCTAGCAACAACCTCTTCAATGTCGTCACTGACGTGTATCCTGCCAACATAGACCGTGCGATTCGTCCTGTCCCATGTCAGTTTGCGCTACGTCGCAGGTTCGACAATGCTCACCTCATGAAACTTCCGACACCTCCCATGTCGTCTCTGTAATCGGAATGCTTGTCCCGGCCAAAGCAGTCGACGTTCGGGTTGAAGATGTCGTGAATGCCAGGCAACCGGTGCAGGTACTCGCAGTCCTGGCCTTTGGGGCAGATGCCCCGGGCGAAGAACAGGCAGAAAAAGCTGCCGACCACCTTATCGGCTCTTGTGTATCCCGTATCTTTTGCGACGTTGCAGCGACCCTTGGCGTGCGTTTTCGAGAGGTACTTGTCTTCGCGGTCGCCACCAGACCATTTATTGTACCTAGAGACTGCATGTCAGCGACGCGCCTTCGGTGGTCACGAGGGAGAGTGGAACAGAGCGTACCAGATATTGAAGATGGTACCCGTCTGCGGCGGCGGCTCGGACGTGATGAAGGAGGGGTCGACCTGAGGACGCGCTGGACGCCTCTTCTTCCTGATGATCTTCTTGACTTTGCGCTCCGCCGGCGCGGCGACTTCGGTGCCCGTGGTCGTGAGGGCCGTCTCGGTAGCATCTTGCGCGTCGTCGCCTTGCGCAGGAACAACAGCGACTTCTTCGTCTGACATTTTGAAATCAGGGAGCTGAGTTGATCTTGCGGACGTGTTCGTGCAAAGAGCTCGTTGCTCGGGATTGTCGATGCTCTGATGTCGAGGCTCGTGCTTGCGTGCAGATTGATCGGACTGACGTTTGGGCGAGGCTGGCGCGCCGCCATTTGAAAAATCTTTTGAAAATCTTATCGCGATAAGATAAGCTCTCTCCCAAATCGCATCCGGACTTTTTGTCTGGGCGCGCTGCCCCTCGTCAGTGTGGGTGGGCTGCCAGTGAGTGCCCCGCCTTGGATGAACCTCACGAAGTCTTCTGGTCGATCATTGTGCGCTTCATGTCAACGACAAGCTTATCGTACTCGAGCTTCTTCTCAAGACGCCCAATCTGACGCAGAGTTTTCCATCAGGCCGGTAACCTGAAGGCCGATCTTCAGGGAGACCCTCGAGGCATCGCCCGACGCCATACCAGCGTTGACGTTTTGTCAACCCTTACGACGTTCCGACTTCAAGCTCACAATTAGAATCGCACAAGTCGAGTGAAACCTCGCTGCCGACAATATGGTCAACATTACGGAGAAGATCAAGGAGTGAGACAGCCGACCAGTACGGTGAAGCTTGAAGGCTGATGTTGAGAACAGGATCGAGGAGGAGATGAGGAAAACACAGAGTAAGCTCCTACTCATATGTGACGTGACATGCTCAATATTTTACATCTTGTTACTGCTCATCTTGATTATGTTGAGATGCTTGAAAATAGGATACTGGGAACTCTAAAGATAGACGATTGCTAACTTTGGATAGAGAATAAGGCAACTGGTACGCTTACTTTGACATGCTTAACGATGTAATTGTATAGTAACGAAAGTGACATGCAGAGTATCATCTGGGTCTTTTGAAGGGGTACGGCAGCATCTGATCAAGAAGAGGCAGTTTCGGCTAACAAATACCAGTAAACTTGCCCGTCTCCGTGCACAACTCCTCGAGCCCGGCCCAGGCGCCGGCGGTGGCGGAGGAGCAGGCTTCGACGTCAGCAAAAGTGGTGACGCCCGAATCGCACTCGTCGGGTTTCCATCTGTAGGAAAGTCCACATTCTTATCCAAAGTCACCAAGACGAGGTCCGAGGTCGCGGCGTACTCCTTCACGACCCTGACGGCCATTCCCGGCGTGCTCGAGTACGGCGGTGCCGAGATCCAACTGCTCGATCTGCCGGGTATCATCGAGGGTGCCGCCGAGGGCAAGGGCAGAGGACGACAGGTCATCTCGGCGGCCAAGACGAGCGACATGATCCTCATGGTGCTGGACGCCACGAAGCGCGCCGAGCAGCGCGCGCTGCTCGAGGCCGAGCTGGAAGCTGTGGGCATCCGCCTCAACCGCGAGCCACCGTACGTGAACCCCCCACGGCGCCCGCTAACGATTTTCGCCCAGGTAGGCTATGTCATCGTGCTGGACCGGCGCTGACTTGGCGTGCCGCAGAAACATCTACCTCAAGATCAAGCAGGCCGGCGGCATGAAGATAACGTTCCAGAGCCCGCCGAAGCGCCTCGACGAGAAGATGCTCTACAACATCCTGCGCGACTACAAGATTCTCAACTGTGAGGTGCTCGTGCGCGACGAGAACGCGACGGTCGACGACCTCATCGACGTCATCATGAAGGACCACCGCAAGTACATCAAGTGCCTCTACGTCTACAACAAGATCGACTCGGTGTCGCTCGACTTTCTCGACAAGCTCGCGCGCGAGCCGCACACGGTCGTCATGAGCTGCGAGCTCGACCTCGGCATCCAGGACGTCGTCGACCGGTGCTGGGACGAGCTGCGGCTCATCCGCATCTACACGAAGCGCAAGGGCGTCGAGCCCGACTTTGGCGAGGCGCTCATTGTGCGGAGCAACAGCACCATCGAGGACGTGTGCGGATCAGATTCACAGGACGCTCAGGAGACGTTCAGGTACGCGCTCGTGTGGGGCGCGAGCGCGAGGCATGTGCCGCAGCGGGTGGGCCTGATT